GGGGACGCCTTTGGGATATAATTACATATATAGAACCTAGGGACCCTTTTATCTGAAAAGATAAAAGTTATATTTTAATTAATTTTTGACCGTAAGTCAGCGAGTAGGCTGTGTGTCAAACCATAGAATTAACTATAAGTCAGCGGGGAGGCTGTGTGTTGAGCTATAAATAACCTATTAAATAGGAAACTCGGATTGCACACTCGCAATACTTATTATGTGTATTTTCGCATGATTGATTCTCAGAAATTTGCTGTAATGTACCATTTGATCTAATAAAATCTATTAAACAAAAGGATAAATTTATTATTTATCAAAAAAAGAAATGAACTTTAAAGTATATAAATACAGAAACGTGGACTGAGATTGATGTATCAAAAAAATTTGCAACATTAAAAATCATTAAACTTTATACAATATTATTTTGAATAAATTCTTTAAAAACAATGCTGTTTAAATTGACTATATACTACTTGTGTGATTGATTCAATTATTAACACCAAAGGAACAAATTAATTTTTTCACAATAAAGCTGTTTGTTGGTTTGTTTTTTTGATTTTAATATTAATCCATGGTTTCTGTTCATAATACAAATTTCATTTTATTTGTTTTATTTGCTTTATTCAAATTACTATTAATCATTTTATTTGAATTATTTTTACTCAAATTGTTTGTTTTTGTATGAGTAAACCTTATTTGAATAGAAACCTAACTACTACTCAAGATTATGATATTATTTTAGCACAAAGAGCTTTAGAAATATTTAACCAACAATTTAATTACAATATAAAAGAGTTATTGGTTTATTAAATTAAGCCAATAATTAACTAAAAATGTGATTAATTTTAGAAGGATATCTGATAAATATTGGCACTTTCAACTAATACTTTTAGACTATATGATAAAAATACTAAGAATATTATTAACCTATCAGTATGCTAATACCTTGATTATTTTTTTAAAGAATAATCAGATTCTGATATTTGCTGATACCCCATTACCCAATTTGGCATCATTTGACCAGTAGAGAGAACCAATAGATTATATATAAGCAAAGAAAGATGGGAGCACAAAAGGATTTTAAATCATGCACAAACATTAACAGCTTGATAGCTTGATTGACATAGTGATGTAGTCTTTGGATTCAATGCAATTTTATTTTATTGTATATTTTAAATATAATTAATCAAATGTTTTTAATAAAACAAACATGACTTAGCTATTTAATGATTTCCTTCATTTCCTTGCATGTGAATGCCTCCATCCATCGAATATTCATGATGATCACGATTATTATTCAATACATTTGATATCATCATTGACATAACAAACAATTGCATCACTCAGGTAATAATGATGCCAAGGCCATGCATGAATGAACTTTAATAATGCATGTCTACCCAGATCTATGGGGTTCACAAAATAAATTATTCTTCCTGATTATCAATTGTGGATGCTCATGAATAATAAATCTGATGTTGATTACAGGTGTCAGATTTAATTAAAATTTCCTATCACAAACATGCAATTGCGGTGCAATGCACAACCTGTCCCCATAGAACTTTTTTTCCCACAGGCAAGGCGATTGAACATGTTGGAAGGCTTTGGACAAAACTTCCCTATCTTCCCCTCAGACCAGGCTTGGCTGTTATCATATGGGCATTGATCATTGATAGCTGGCATTTGTGTGATGATTGCTGCGAGTTATTGCCACACTAGCATAAAAGTTGGCACCTGCAACTGGTTCAAAAGTTCTGCAACTTGGGAGATTGCAACCTGAGTTGCTGTTTTGGATTCAGAGTTTTGAGTCTGGGTTGCTGTAATTTTTATGAAAAGAAAAGTATTAATATTTAACAATTAATTATTTAAATGTTTATTTTGTTGAAAAAAATATACATTGATAATGTACATTTTCTGTGCTTAACATCCATGTGACCCTAAATCTGGGACAAAAGATCCCTTTATATGAGTTTGGCTGGTATATCCCAAAGGCGTTTCCTGTCTTGTCAGTGGCATACCTACTCACCAACAACCATACCCCCATTTAAATAACAAGTTCGGTTGGTCAAACAAAAATTAAAGAGAAGCAGAAATTTGGGAATGATTAATTTATACCAAAATCTGAACCATTTTATTTTACAGCTTTCTCCTTGATGCCAGTGATCATGGTGACTATCACAATGGGAGTATCAACAGAGTTGCAACTTGGTCACAGAGCCATCCTTACCCTAGAGGTAGGATCATTGCAGGTGACTTTTCGTCTAACATGGCAGCTTTCTCTGGTCTGGGAAGATTAGTGAAAGTGTCATTGACGATGATGCAGTCTTGGCAAACTCCAGAGCCATGTCCCCCCTGAAAATTTAACAACATCATTGTATCATTGGGGCACACTAGTCAGATTAGCCTTGTGCACATGAGGAACATGTGAGAATGGCTGTAAAGTGTTCAAACATTTCATACTCGAAATGTTTCTTTTTAAATGGTGTATTGCCTTGACTTCATGTAATTATAATATTATAATTAATATTTTAATATTAATGTTTACACAAAGCAAAATATTATCAATATTTATCCAGCAAGATCTGCTCCGTGTTTTGATTCCAATTAAAATATTTATAAGCTAAAATTAAAATATCAATACAAATAAAAAAAAGTACCTCTGGTTAATTATTAACACGTATTCTTTAGGAGACCCAAACCGACCGAAACAACAACACCCACGTTTTGTCACCTTGGACTCTCTCAAAAAATAAATTGTTTAATCAATTCGCGTCTGCCCAATAGGATAAATAATTAATTGTACACGTCGATCAAATAACAAACTTCTTTTTTAAATTTTTTTTTAAAATATGAACAGCAAACAGGATAGAAGAAAAAGAAGTAAACAATTCGTTGTTGATGTTGCTGGGTAAGTGTTTTAAGAATAAGGATGGTGGTGGTGGTTATCACCCACCACTTGTCGTTACTCTAGTTAAATTTTTAAAAATGCCCAAAACTGATTTATGATTTTTCTTGCAGGAAAGAAAAATTGCCTTTTTCATCCGAAAAAGTCCTTAGAAAAAGAAAATCAGTATGTTATACTGAAAGTTCAGTGGAAGAGACCAATTCATCTGATTCAGACTACATGGAGAAACGTGGGAAAGTAATTGAAATTTTTTTTTACTGTTTCGCATGATCATAAATATTCTGATTTTAATACTATTTTTGAAATCTAAAAATCAAAACGATTATGTGGAAAAGCGAACCATGATTGTGTGGATGAAGGTGACATGTCATACCATCTAGAAATTTTAGAGGATGAAAACACATAAAGTCCGGTTCAACAAACCATGATGTCATCAAATACCTCAGAAGATACTATATTGTGTGAAATTACTCAAAGTACATCCCAACAATACCTGACATCATTAGATGCCTCACAAAATATTACTACTTCATGTGAAGATACACCATGTCCAGTTATTCGATCGACTCAAGAAGCTTTGATTTTTACACCAAACAAACCAATCATAACAAAAATGATGTATGATAAATATTCCCCATACCTTATTTGCACATTCAATTCAACAATAAATTATGTTAAGGAGACCGTGGAAGAGAGAACCTATATATAAATAAAAAAGTTGTTGCAAATAAAAGATCGATTGGTTTTGCAGGAAACTCTTGTTAAGAAGCTGGAGGAGATATTTGAAACAGACTACACAGAAATCGAATCAAAAATCCTTAATAAGACAATCATCACGGGTGATAACCAGACAGAAGAAGCAAGATTTAACTTTTTTGCACAGTACGCACTCCTATATTTCACCACAAACTTCAAGTACAGACTGCCAAGAGTCCTATACCATGATATATCTGAACGTACCTTTATTGTTGAATGTTTATCACCTATCTTCTTGAGTAGTGATGTTAGCCGGCTAATAATCTGCATACATAATTTCTAAATTTGGTAATAGATTTCCGTATTACATTCTGGTTATAGAAATAGAATTACCAATTTAGGTAGTAAACGGCTTAGCCGGCTAAGGATTTTTAAACGGCTAACATCACTAGATTTAAGTATAAGTATATTAATGTGATTTTGAACACAGCCTCGCCCAATGTTGTGACCCTAAACTCTGAGTTGAGGGAAAACCCGAAACCAAAATCTCCCTAAATTAGTTTAGGGAGTTTTTAAAATCCTAAACCTTCCCGAAACCTAAACCCTTACCCGAAACCTAAACTCTTACCAAAACCCATACTGAAACTAATTTTATACCGAAACACAAAAAACTAAACCCTAACCCGAAACCTAAATTCTTACCAAAACCCTTACTAAAACTAATTTTATACCAAATCACAAACTTTATACCAACAAATTATTTTTATTTTCTGAACTATTTTTTATGTCAAAATTATTTTGTTTTTATTGCAAAATATTACCAATTGATTTTATTTCAAGAATTTTTTTAGATGGATTTAAAATTTTAAAAATTTATTCTAATTTAATCTAATTGTTATTATTTTATTTTCAAACACCATCATTAATTTCTTCAGAACTTTGAATTTCATCATTATTATTTACGTTGCAATTTCTGTCTTCATTATCAAACCTAAATTATGTGAATTACAATCCAAATCTTCCTCATCAGTATCACATTCATAATTAATTTTTTTTTTCTTTTTGCAGTATTAATATCATTTTCACATGTCACATCAAAAAAAATTGGAAACCAAATCGTTGGAGTTATATTCATAATTTTCATTATGTTATAAATATTCTCTACACTTATATCAATTTCATTTTTGTTACCACCTTCATAATTAAATAAAGAATTGTTTTAAATCCATGTAGTCTTCTATTAGAAAATCTATATCTCTATTATGGTTATCATAATATTCATAATCGTCAAGATCAATATCTGATTCTGTATCGATGGATTCACCATTACCTCGTTGCCCTGAACACAAATAGAAATATAAATTGAGTTGCATTTCTCAAATTTAAATAAATAATAAGCGGAATTATTGGTTTGAATTTTCGAGGGTAGTTAGGTTTTGGATATGGATTTAAGTTTTGGGTAATTTTTAGGTTTCGGATATGGTTTAGGTTTCGAATGTGGGTTTAGGTTTCGGGTAAGTTTTAGGTTTGTAACCAGAAACCCAAACTAGACAGTTTTAGCTTACCGAAACTGTTTCGGGAAGCCAAAAGGATTTAGGATCACAACATTGATTGATGATTATCTACGAATTCCTTATGAACGATTAAAAGATAGGCGAAGGGAGTTTCCAAAGTTATCAATAAATCCTTCATTATCAAATTTAAAACTTGATACTGTAATCAAAATATTCGAATTTTAAATTCATTTCGAAATTATTTTGGACACTCGTAATCATTATTATTTTGGAATGGATATTATAGTATTGTGAGGTGAGAAAGTGTCCGGATCCCTTTCTATTAATATTAATATTTATAATAAAATTGTTATTGGATAAGAAATTTGTCGATTGTAAACAAATTAAAAATTTTATAAATTTAACATGAAACAAATAATAATATTTATAATCTTGATTTAGCAATTCACTCACGTATTTCACGTATCTAATGCATTTATGAGAATCTATAAACATATAATGTTAAAATTCGAATATTCATAATAAATAAATTGTTATTTAAATATTCGTAAAATAGAATGATATTAGGAATACTGCTTCTGACTTATTTAATTAAGTACGATGGGCCAGAAAAATAAAAAAAATTTATACTATCATGAACAAACAGTGAATGCAAAGAAAAAAGGCGGTCCAATTATCGACATCATTGTTTTTAAATATTGAGGCATTGATGTTCTTTTTCTAAAGATAATTCAAGCTTTGTGGGATAGATATGCTAAAAAATAAAAGTCTTTTGAGCTCTAAGGCTTTGATAACTTTGTCAAAAGGTGAAAACGTGGTGTAAATATGTATGTTTGTATTTAGTAATTCCAATTCATCAAACCAACCTTTATAAATTTTTTTAATGGCAAAGAAATTAAAACTTGCATATATATTCACACAAACTTAAGCTAAAAATTAGCGATATGAGCTGGCTTGAATGGCTTAGCCGGCTAAGAACTTGGATCAAATTTACTGTTGCTATTATTGTATTAATAATATATTCTAATTCGCCGTCGTTATTACTTTTGCTTTCCTTATTATATCTTTTATCCTATTACGAGTATTGTATTTTGGGGAGCAAATGTATGTTTTTTTCTTTTGACATCCCAAGTAATGCGGATGGACCCATCTCAACTAAGTGTCTATGGCACTAAATTCTGCATCAAATTCCAGACGTAAGTTGAATGTTTTTTTTTATCTACGTATATAATTAATTTGACCTAAGGTTTTTTTATCAGCTGGCATTACTACTAAAAATGGTATTTTTATTATTTAGCAGAATTTTCAAAAAATTGCATCCAGATAGTTATAGTAATAGGAAGTATATAATATATATATATATATAACAGATAAACCTGCAATTTATATACATTTACATATATCAGCCCACAACTTAAATATATAATTGCATGTACAAGTTTACAGAATACATTTATTTATATTGATATATTGTATTGCTAATTTACTTGTTGCAAAATTATTTCAAAAAAAAAGTTAATTAGAACTAGAAAGAATTTCTGCCTTCAAATAGTATTATAAACCTTATTATTAATTAATAAGAAGGTATATATAAACTCAAAAGTGAGATTGCGTAAAGAACAATTTTCTTTGTTTGCTTACCTTATTGAAGCTATAAAAGAATTAAATTAAATTAGTGACATAACGGCTACTTATTAATCTAATTTTATGTTCATTATAACGATTAAACACGACACGACAAACTTAATGTTAACTTATTATCATCCCACTCGCCTTTAAATTTTCACCATCATCCTCACTTTCTTATCCACTATCCTCACCTTTAAACTTTTCACTCACACCTCCTGTTTCTTCATCATTTTGGTTTTTTGTTTCTTCGTTCGTTTGCCTTCAATTAGTTCATACATACCACTTAATTTTCAAAACATTCTTCTTATCACATTTATCACATAGTGACAAAAATTGAAGGACATTAATATTAAAAAGTAAAATTTTCCTAAAAATCACGTGAAAAGTCTGGGGCACGGAGTTTTATAGAAATAATATTCAATGAATATGAACAAAACGGTCAATTGTTAATGGGATTTTCGATACACATGCATATTTAATTAAATACAAAAATATGGAGTTTAAACTGTTTTTTTTTTTTATTGGTAATATTTGCATTATTTACAATAGAGTGAAAAAACACCTTTTGTCTTTGCACTCAAATATATACGTGCAACGTAGATCTTACTACTTCATTGAAAATCATTTCCATACCTAAGGTTTTTCCACGGCTATTTTTTATTTGACCTGTTAATTTTTATATTAATATTGCATCCATAAATCTCCAAGGACTGCAAGCATTGCATTTGTATGAACAATCTAATAACACTATATAAAACCATACATGTGAAAAAAAATTCAAAAAGTTTGCATTAAATGATAAGGGCGGAATACGAAAAGTTCTCAAGCTGAAATTTTTTGCCAATTAGATAAAATCGAGTGTCCATTACCATCTGGCGCGTGCGTAAGAAGGAAATTAAACCATTCTAAATAAATATTTTTTTATTGTATAGTTAGTATTATGGTAGGGTGCACAGAATATACATTTGCTTTTAAGGGAAATTCACGTGTAAAAAGCGGAAAGAACGAAGGAAGATCTTACTGGGAAAAGCAGCTAATTCACTTGCATTATTTGCATTTTGCATTGTATTTATCTGGGCATTCCAGTATTGGGTTGACAATTTAAATACCAAAACTGGTTTAAATCCAGTCGTAATCATTTCAACTTCGTTCTTCAAAAAAAAAACGAAATGTTCTTTAACATTCATTCACACAAATATTTATATAATGTCTGCCTTTGTGAGAAATCCTATTTTACAAAATTAACGAAAATATGGGTATATTTAAATCTAAATCACCTGATCTAAAGATTCCACATCTTGATATTTATCATCATGTAACCAGTAATCCTAATTCTATTCCTGATACTAAACCAATTTATATTGATGGATCAACTCGTAAAGAAGTTACTTTTGGTGAACTTAAAAGTTCTACTCGAAAGTTTGCCAGTGGATTAAAATCAATTGGATTTAAACCTGGAGAAGTTTTGGCGATTGTTTCTCCAAATCACATCCATTTTCCTATTGCATTATTAGGAACCATTGCATTTGGTAATTATTTAATTAATCATTAACTTGCATTTTTTAGCAATAAATTCATCCTTTGCACTTTTTTTTCAGGTGGAACTGTTACAACACCTAATCCTAATTATAAAGTTGAGGAATTAAGATATCAATTATCTGATTCCAAAGCATCAATCATTGTTGCACATTCGTCAACCTTACCCACTGTTTTAAAAGCTGCAAACAACGTAGATATACCAACTTCCAAAATCTTTGTATTAGATAAAGAGGAAGTCTCTGAAGATGGCATTAGGACATTCACCAGCCTATACAAGGATGATGATGACTCAGCAATTATTCATTATACAACTGAAGAGAAAGTCAAATCAACAGTTGCTTATTTGTGTTATAGTTCTGGTACAACTGGCAAACGAAAAGGCGTTGAGACCACACATTATAATATGGTTGCTAATCTTGAACAAATTCATCATTTCGAGGAATTCAATTCTGATCTTGTATTCTTGGGAGCATTGGTAAGATTAAATTAGGTTACGATCATGATTACAATTATGATTACAATAATGATTTTTTGTTTTCACAGCCATTCTATCATATTTTTGCATTAAACATGATGATACATCAAGTACTTTATTGCGTAAGTCTTTACTATTTGTT